TTGGCGGTGCTACCTCTTGATGGGAGGTCAGCTGGACTTTTTGTTCCAGCAATATGTTTCCACGTTTTTGGATCCGTCAGTTTCCTAATCTCCCTGACTCTGTTTTCCACAAAGACAGCCCAGACAATCTCTTCCCTTTGAATCCATGTCAAAACTGTTGTAGAATCCGTCCAAAAATGCGTTTCCACATTTTGCCATTGTAAACCATTTAAAACAGAAGAGCATAGTCTGGCACCTATCGTGGCAGCTATCAATTCCAGACGAGGGATCGTAATAGATTTCACGGGAGCTACTCTAGACTTCGATGCCAACAGATGAACTTCAACTCCAGAATTCGTCACAATTCTCAAAACTGCAGCAGCATACGCATTACTACTGGCATCACAGAATGTGTGAATGCTGCAGAACTTCCTATTGTCCTTGCTGGAATGTATCCAACGTAGGAGGGATATTTCTTTTAAGAGAAAAAGGCTTTTATACCAATTCACAAAATTTTGTTTTGTACTCTCGTCGACTTCAGTATCCCAAGAAATTCCTGTTTTCCATAGGTTCTGCAACAATATTTTAGGATACAAGAGAACAGGACTCACAATACCAATAGGATCAAATATTTTGTGTGTTACAGCGAGAATTGTTCTCTTCGTTATTATACCCATTTCAAAATCTTCTAGCCAATTCAGATTCAAAGTTAAATTATCTTTCTGAGAGTTCCATAACAAACCTAATACGGGTGAAATAGTTTCCTGTTTCGAGTTATCTCCGTTATGTAACCAACCTCGAAGATTAAACTTTCCTTCATTCATTATTTCTCGAGATTTTTCGATGAACTGGATCATCTCGGATTCTTTGTCAAAACTGGCAATAACGTTATCTACGTAGAAGCTACGCAAGAGTTTAGCTATCATCTCCGTATCATATGAAGAATTTTTCATGTACTTTTGTAGATGGAATTCTATAACAGCTGCCAAAAGGAAAGGACTACTCTTAACCCCAAATACTACTCTAGTATGACGAAATATTTTCGTTTTCTTTTCTTTTCTTCCACATCATTCCACCAGAAAAACCGAAGCCAGTCTCTATCTTGAGGCCTTACACTGATCTGTAAGAAAGCCTTCTCAATGTCTGCTATAGCAGCAAACTTGCCTTCCCGAAATCTCAACAAAAGAGAAGGAATTAGTTCTATCAAATTTGGTCCACACTCCAAACACTGATTTAGAGAAGGAGACGATTGTTTCCTCGCAGACGCATCAAACACCGGTCGAATTGGTGTTGAGCTATTTTCTTTGATCACCGGTCTATGTGGCAAATAATGTCCATAGTCAACCGCTTATATTTTCTTTAACTTCTTCGATCACTCCTAAGTTACACACCAGTCATTAAAAACTGCATTGTATGAAGAAAATAAATTTTGAGATAGAAGTTTCTGGGTGGTAGATTGTAGACGTTTCAAAGCTAAATCCTTGTGGGTGAGAGTGGTGGTACATGATTCTCGCCCACGGAAGTGCGACTTCATAACCCCCCCCCCTCTTCGTTTAGAGATACAGAATTTTCGAACTGCAATTTTGCTTGCAAATCCCTTTCCTCTCTAGCCTTCTTTGTAACTGGATCTGTTATTCCGATAACATCAAGCCTCCACAGTTCTGACAGCGTGGCATCAGAAATATGTAAAGATAACGAAAGCGTGGAAAAGGAATTTTCTATTTCATAATTGTCAGTGTTCGCTTTCCCCATGACTGTCCACCCAAGTCTTGTACTTACAGCAACTAATCTTCCCCAAGGAAGAACTTCGATTTTACCTGTAAATAAATTTGCAGCAACATCTGCCCCTAACAACAAATGAATCTCTTGGGGGTTCTCCTGGAATAATCTGCAATTTCCATTTTCAAAAACATCACTGACGTAAATTCCTCTTCTTCTAAGTTCCCTAATCCAGTGTATATTTTTGATTTTAGGGACCGAAGAACATATTTTTCTTTCATCTAATACATTGATTTCGCAATTATACCGTTTATCTACGCTACCCAATTTTATTCTATAACGTTTATGTTTTTCCGAAACTTCTATGCCACCGAAAAGTCCGTGGGTTACACTTTGTTCACCTAAGCTTCTTAATTGTAACCTTTCTGCTGCATACCTGCTTATGTATGAGTTTTGACTTCCGGTGTCAATTATCGCTCGAACAAATTGGTTATTCCCTCTTCCATATATGCGAACAACTAAAGTTTGCAAATATACTTCTGAACATCCTGCTTGATTTGAAAGTACTTTATTTTCTATCTGTTCGTCTTTTTTAATTTCCGAAACCTCGACAGAAGGATTTTGTTTATTACACATAATAGTTGCATGTTGTTTTTTACAAATAGAACAAGTTATTTTTGTTCTGCAGTTTTGAGCCAAATGGAGTGGTTTTAGGCATTTATAGCAAGCACATTTCCTTTTTAAAATGTCCCTTTTTTCTTGTAATGATAAGCCGGAAACGAAACTACAGTCATAAATCTTGTGGAATTGATTACAGAAGACGCAGTTCATATTTTCCTCCCTGCATTCGGATTTTGTAAACAAATCTGTAGCGGTCGGAATCTTTGGTTTATTATGTCTATTTGAGAGACCATATGCGCTTTTCGTTGCAGGGGGGGGGAGAAGACTGTCGCCGATCGGATACTTTTTGCTGTTGCGAAACCGTTGACCTTGTGCGTTCGCGGGATGAAAGTTCTGCGTGTAAAAATGACATTAAATCTTTTATGTTATAATCGGTGCCAACATTTTGTGTTCTATGAAATTCAAGCGTTAATTCTGAAGGCAATAACTTCAAAATCATCGGACACAGCAAAGCGCTGTAAGATTCCGATACAACATCTAACGCTTCGAGACATCTAATCTGTGTTTGTACTTTATCATACAAGTTACGAAATGTTTTTATGTCATTCGCATTTTTTAATGATTCAACATTCAGCAAATTATTCATGTGCGCATTAATAAGAATGTCTCTCCTTCCAAAACGGTCGTGTAAGATTTGAATTGCTGAATCATAATGTTTTGGCGATAACGGAAGTCCTTGAACGCAACTAGCAGCTGTTCCTCCTAAATATGCTTTCAGGTAATTAAATTTGTCTACTTTGTTCAATGATTCGTTATTATGTATTGAGGACTCAAAACTATTTCCAAAAAGTAAGCCATTGACTACTGTTCCATAAAATACGGGAATCGAAAGTTTTGGTAATTTAACATTAGGTGTATCTTTTATATTTTGCTGAGTGTTCGGTGCATTTAAGTCATGATTAAGTTCCTTAATCCGTTTCTTAAGCCTGAATTTCCATAACGTTATCTTCTCGCGATATTGTTCTGTAATTTCGAATTCATTTTCGAATTCATCTACACTCAGAATTGGTTCAACTTCTACATCGGCATTAGATAGTGTTTCGGTTTTAGCATTAAGCTGTTCTAACAATTCTTCGAGCTCATGAACACTACCTTCAGATTTATTTAATTCACTTTCGATTTTCTTAAATAGTTTTGTAACGGCAGTTTCTTAAGATACTTCTTTTCTTTTTTAATTTATCTACTTTTTCTGCCATTATCTTTCTTAGATTCAAACATTTACACAAAAAATATACGTCTAATGAAAAAGAAATATTTAACTCTTACTTAAAACACAAAATTATTCTTCTGCTTAATACTTCAAGAACAAGTACTAAAATCTTCAATTTTAATATTCAGCTTTTGAATTCACTTTATTAGAACTTTTCAAAAAACCTGGCGTCCCTGTTCGGGCGCCATAAAAATGTTGCATCAGGTTCTTCTATTTACAATAAAATTAATGTAAAATTCCTTACCTGCTGCATCTTCAGTGTTCACGACGCCAGGCTTCTAATAATCACGTTTTCAGTAAGAGTTTCTATTACTGCTAACAAGCCATCTTGTCTTTTAATTATTTATTGAAATAAGACACTAATATACACTATTTACAAGGTAGGTAATAATTATTTTAAGACAGTACATTTTAATTCTGAGTCTTTACGCTCCTCAGAGCGGTTCCAATCTCAACTGGTTCTCGGAACTCAATTACAGCAAAAGTAAAGGAAGAGATGCCCGCCATCTAGTGGCAAGAATGTGACAAGGTTATCACACATGGCTACAGTCCTTGCTAGACGGGACTTTTCTGAGAAACGAGATTCTGGTAGCACTGGTTTAAACGGGAGGAATTCTAAAAAAAAAGAGCCTAGCCTGAAGTGAAGTCCCGCCTAGCTACGGAAGCAATGTTGCGACTACGTGGGATTTTTTAAAACATCACCTAAAATGTTCCGGGTAGAGACAATCAGACGAAAGTTCTGCTTCTGAAGGATCACGTGATCTCGATTTGAGCGATATTCGATTACTGTTTGGCGTTCCAGTTTTTGTAATAAGTGAGAATGGTAACATAGCTACGTGTGTTTCCTGGAATTCTGCGGATTCTGAGAATTGTCTCTTTCGACATCAAGTCCCGCGTAGCCGAAACATAATGTGATTGGGACTTTAAGGATCCTAACTGCGACCTCGCTCAGCTTGTTTAGGACTGTGTACAGACCATGCCAAGGTGACTGTGATTTAGGAAAGAGATTTTTACGTCGAGTCGGATTACACAACCACACCTTGTCTCATTCGTCACCTTGTCCCGTAGCTCTCGTGCGTATAAGGTTCATCGTCTCCGTTACCAAGTTGACTCGGTCTCCTGCAATATCGTGCATCACTTCAAACTTTGCCTATGTTGTGTTTATGTGTGTATTTAATTATGGCAAAGCACACTAGGGCTATCTGCCTGAAGGGAGGGATGCCTTCGTGGAGGACTTTCTAAGAGAAACTGGCTCGTATACACGTTACACATGAGGAAAACCACGAAAACACTCATTCAGCCAGCCCGTTCGCGGGATTCGAACCTCGGACCGAACTACAGTGTTCAATAACTTTACCGCTCGGCCGCTGGTGGGCAACTTTGCCTGTTGAATTTTGGATGTACTCCTCAGGCGAAGAAGGCGCATCCGGAGGAAGACCAAAATAGAGATTACAAAGAGATGAAGGTCCCGAATGAAGAGCATCTGAGATGGGGAATAGCCGGTGGTATCGTGGAAAGTACTGCGGTAAGTCAGGAAAAACTGAGTTAACTTCTTGTCCTAGTGCTGTTGATTTCTGGAAATCACCAGCGAGAGCTTTCTAAAGATGATTCGATTAAATCTGTCTACCCTCTCGTCTACTGCCAATGTAAAGGTGTCGTTTTAGAAAACTCTTAAGAGCGTTAATTTCAAGTTTTCAGAATTTTTGTTCTAAAATTAAGGAAAAAGGCTTCAGTTACCTTTCTTCCTTCTAAAATTTCGATCTCGGAGGAGCTTGCCTAAACATATTTTCGAAAATCTCTTCAAGAAGTCTACATCTCAAAAAAAATTTAATTTGAAATAATTCAACGTTAAGATATACGGAAAAACTAAATCGAAATTACATTCGACATCTTACATCTCTTCTGTTTTTAAACTGCAATTTCTCGTTGCCAAAAATTAATACCCAAAAATTAAAGTCATAACATTTCACGCGCCATCTAGGGAAAGTAGAAATGTCTGTTTGTTAATTTGTTTTGCAGTTTTTCTTTATAGGCCGTTTTCAACACTCCTCACTTTGAGTTCACACTTCTTGGTAAAACTCAAACAACTGTTAGGTAGTCACTTTAGTTGGTTTTATTAGTCTGCCATAACGTGAACGCTGAGGCTCCGATAGTCGAGTAGAAGTTGTATCATCAGTTGATACTCTGAAAGTCTCAGTTCTCATCTCCAGCACAGCTTTATCATCGGAACAGGATTGGCGGGAAGTGTTCCCTCGTTTGGGCATCCTTCTGTACCTGGGTCTAAATTAGAGGGTTCAGAATGTATTCCATAAGAATCTGAAAACGAAGGAAAGTTAGTAGCGCATAAAGATGTTTTTCCTTTTCTTGCAATTCCAAAGGGAGCAATTTTTGCACAGGATGTAAAAAGGAACCATATGCTGTTTTTACAAAAGCTACTCTAACCCGATGGTCCTTTACAGAATAGAGTTCAACTATTCGCCCTAAATTCCAATTTAGTCATTTGGTATGATCATTTCCTAACAAAACTATTTCTCCTTCCTTTAAGATGCATTCTTAGTTTACCTTATATGCTTCTTTCCAGTTGCCCTAGATACTCAGTTCTAAAACGCTTTCTTAAATCTCTTTTCACTCTAACACGATATGCAAATTTTTTTAAACTTATTTGCCTCGATATTGTCAAACTCGGGTACGCCGATTTTTCTGATATCTTGTAAGAACATTTCATGAGTAAAAGGCTCCAAATCTTCGGGATCTTCCGAAATAGAAGTCAACGGTCTTGAGTTAATATAACTTTCACAACCGCATAGAACAAAATTCATTTCTTCATTATTCAAAGATGTTTGGCCTAAAGTTTTTCTTAAAATTCTCTTCATCAGTGCAATTAACCTCTTCCAGAAGCCTCCCCACTAGGGGGTGATAGGCGGTATGAATACAAAATTTGCTGATGTGACCCTTATTTTGTAGACACCTAAAAGAATTGCTGCGTAAAGAAAAAATTGAATTAAATAAATTAATAAAAAGAATTGCTACGTAAGAGTTGCCATTGCTGCGTAATATTTCAACCTTCTCGTCATTCGTTAGTTTCTGTGCAATGGGACTTTTACAGCCTGTATGAAAAAAATCCATTAAAAAACTTGTGTCTTTATCAATTTTCTTTAACACCCGTAGACACTACAGAAAAGACTTTCGTTTCTATTTTATTGCTGTTTCCATCGCTGTAATTACGAGTTTTGATTTGCCAAATCGTAAACGGAGACTGACGGCGCCCACTGTTCGTTGTATAATGATCTTTTTTATGACTTCCGTCCTTTCATTTGAATATGAACATTGATCTATAATCAAACACAGACTTTTGATATCGCAATACAAGCTTCCATTACTTATTCTGTTAATTTCAATCAAAATATCTTGGGGAAGTGATTACAGGATGAGAGGACATAAGATACTTGATAAATTTTCAAGAGACTGGAAAACATTTTCTAAACAGCTTAATTCAATAGAAATATTATGATAAAATTTTCTCAAGACGCGAACATCATTCGAGACCTTCAGAGGTTTAGTGCTCAAAATATCTGTTTTCGCAAATCTCTCTTTAAAGACATCAATTGCAAAATCGTAATTAGCAGCAGTAATCGGTAACCCTTCGACTGTATTTAAAGCAGAACCGCTTAAATGAGCTTTTAAATAGTTAGATTTGTCTAGTATATCTAAAAAAAAATTTTTACGAATGGTAGATTAGAAACTGTTCCAAAAGGTTAGATAGTTATTTATATCGCCATAGGATTTCGTTAAAGTAAATTTAGGTAATTTAATTCGAACAGACTCGTTATATTTTGTTTCATTTTGGACTGTAAGTAATGAACTGGTTACTTACTGTAGTTTCAGTAGATTTGCGTTTTAATTCATCGATTCTTTAAAAGGACGGAAATTGCATTAACGACTTTTTGACGATATACCTCTGATTTTTTGGAGTTCAGCAAAAAATTCTTCGATTTCAAAATTCTGTATCAGCAATTATAAGCAAGTCGAATATATTCTTTAATATTTCTAAATTTTCTTCCCGGCGATTCCAAATCGTTAAGCGATTTCGTTGCTGCGCACTTCTTTATTAACTTATTCAAATTCTCTTAAGTTCTGAACAGTTCAAAAATTCAAAATGTCGCCAAACAAATTTCTCGCCAAAATGGACTAATACTAAAGCTGTGCCAAGCTTTTTTAAAACAGAGCATAATACTACAGTTATGAACAAATTTAATGCTATAAAAGTTAGTTAATTTAGTAAATTTCAGTTTTTCACCGAAGCAATGAAATATTTTGATAATTATGAAGTTCCTTGTATATCTTTATAAATGAACTTTATTGCTGTTTTAAACAATTAAACAACTGTCCAAGTTATTTTAATACTTTTGAAATATATACACTAAAAGAAACATTAAAATTTATTAATATATTTGTCAACCTTGATTTTGGCATAAAAGTCTGCAGAATGCTTCGTAGTTTTTAAGCACACAGAGGCACTGCAATTCTTATTCCTTGATTTGAAGTTTTCTGCAAGTGTTTATTATTATTATTATTAAAATATCTGTGTTGGCACACATACAATTTTTTTATAGTGACTTCAGATGTGGATAAATTTTTCGAACACTCTCGTTTGTTTTACTGGCGTCGCTGAATTTTGCGATGAATGCATCACATTTTATTGCCGAGTATACTGTTAATGTATACATTAGCAGTGAATTATTCTCCTTGTACTGTCGCTTCAGTTCCGTTAAGTTTCTAATTAAATTTAGTTAAAGCGGAATGGCAACACCTTCTAGTCTCCGCGAAGAACGAAGTAAACAAACTTCGAGTTTTTGTCACGCGATGCTACGTGCATGTAAAATGTAAATAAATCTTATGAATAAGAATATATAACATCATATGGAATAAAATATTGGTTCCATAGGAGTCAGAGAAGTGTTATTTTTCTATATTTGCACACCAGACACTTCACTGGTGTATCCCGGCGTGATCGAATTCTACAATGGCTGACGAAGACGAAACCGAAATTAAAGCAACAACTCCATCTGTCGCCAAAGTAAGCGTTAAAGTTCCTCCTTTTTGGAAGCCAGATCCTAAAATATGGTTTATTCAACTAGAAGCACAATTTAGAAATGCAAAAATTAGTGCAGATCAAACGAAATATGATTATGTTATAAGTTCTATTGAACCCGATATTTTGTCACAGGTATCTGATATTCTGCTAAGTCCACCACAAGAGAATAAATATGAGGCAATTAAAAATAGACTAATTTCATTATATGCTGATTCAGAGACTCAAAAAACCCCAAAAATTACTGAGTGAGTTAGAACTGGGTGACACAAAAGCCATCTCAATTGCTGTGTGAGATGCGTAATTTGGCTGGGCGATAAAGTAACAGATACTTTCCTAAAAACGTTGTGGGTTCAACGTTTACCCGTTAATATGCGTAGCATTATATCTGTTAGTAGTGAAGATTTGTCAAAAGTGGCTACAATGGACGATAAGATTTGGGAATTAAACCCTGTTACTCCCCAAATAGCTGCTGCATCATCCATAACGGTAAAAGCGGAAGTGATTGAAAGTTTACAAAAACAGGTTAGTGAACTTAGCTTACAAACTTCTGCTTTAAACAAGCAACGCCACAGTCGTCCCTATTGTCATAACCGATCCAAATCCAGAGATAGGAGTTACAGTAGTAACAGATCTAGTGATATTTGTTACTATCATAAAAAATTCGGTGATAAGTCATTTAACCCATTAACGGTTTCACCCGGATTTTCTCGTTCTTTTATGCAGGTCTCTTAACGGTTCGTTACGGATTATTGTTAGTTTAAATGTACCCTCGAAAACGGACAGTCCCGTGTTTTTGTATTATCGAAAAAACACGCCAAAAAGGACTAGCCCGTATTTTTGTATGTCTTCCAACCCCCAATGCCTAAGGGGACAAGGGTCCATGCAATCCTGACGACAATGGGTAATGGCTGTCATTAGCGTGGGGAGAAATCTCCTTGATGTTTTGGGATAAAGGCCTTACACTGACTCTAAAGAAACAAATTTATTACCAGTTACAAAGTGGATGCATATATAAAGGGATTTAAGGAATTTCCGTTTTAGAGAGCAGTTATTGAATAAAAAATAGAATTTTTTACAAAATGAACGTTTACCTATAAGAGCATTAATGAATTAAAACGAGAAAAATAAAAGTAATAAATGCAAACATAAAAATCTGAGAAATGCAAATCTTTCAGATTTTACATTACGCCCAAAGGGCGTTTTTTTAACGGTTTGTGGGTTACCTTTATTTTTAAATATCATGTTCTTCGCACCATAAAACTTCCATACAAAACCATAAAACTTCAGTTAAACATCAATACCGCAAAATAAATTTTAAATGAGCATATCTTTAGAATTTCCAATACACAGTCTCACCCGTTGATGAAGATAATTTTTTATATTATTATTTTCATACAGTGTTGCCTTTGCTCGCTTTAAAATCGTTGAGTTTCTTAATAAAAAATTCATTGAAGTTTTACGAAATAGGAAACATATAATAAAACAAATTCCAAATCTCGGCTTCGAGATGCCCATATTCGGGTGGAAATGTACGTTATTCAAAATTGGATGGGTCTAGGTACCGTTGTTTTATCACAATGCGAGAAACATACATATATTTATGCAGATTATTCATTATTTAATTTCAAGGCAGATAGCCCTCGAGTGCTCTGCCGTAATTTAATAAACCAAAACCATTATTTAATTTCTTTAAATATAATACAGGGCTGTAATATGTGGTAGCAACAGTTTGAAAAGTGAACTGACATAGTTTTCAACGCAAAATGAAAAAATGAAGTTAATAGACCTTCTCGGCTAACGCCCTTTGGGCTTAAAAATAATGTATCATGTAATTTAATGGGAATACGAGATTAAATAATTCTCTTTAAAAATTCTTCTACAAATTTATATCACGAATAATAAAAACGTGAGGCTGTCTTGATAAATTTATAAATATTATACATCTGACAATGCGATTCAATTATTTGATTTCGTAATTTAAGAGCCTATGATTCTTCTT